GCAGCCTTGTATTCGAGAAAGGTGACTGTGTGGGTTGATTATCTTTCTGGAAACCTTCTCCGCATTTTTGATTAAAGATGATTGAATGAACACTCACTCTACTTCCATGAAAATTCCAAGTTCTATAGCTGTCTACAAATGATGTGCAATTTTCAGATCTCGGTCAAAAGATGACCAACGCATTTCGGCCATACTTGACCGTGCTCGGATTCTTGGTCTTCCTGTGAAGCGCCTGACGCACTCGCAATTCGACAAAATAACAGATTTTCAGCTGCATAACGTATGGCAGTGAGTATCCATTGCTTACGTAATCTTTTTTATCAAAAAATTTTTCAGGGTATCTGCTTGGATGCCTCTCCTTTATCTCTGGCTAGAGAGGTCAGTAGTAATCATCTCACCTCCATCTACCTCGACAACGTTCTCGATCCCGGTAATCTTGGAGCAATTGCTAGGAGTGCGACGTTCTTCGGTTGTTACCAGATTGCATTCTCTGATGGCAGAGGGTGTGTTACTCATCCAGAATTGTTTCCACCCATGCCGCCCACAGCTCGCTTGGAAGCGGCAGATTTTTGAACGGTCCTTATTTTCATGATAGATTAAACGCTTGTTTTTAAGACCGTCTCGGATAACACCAGCTATGTCTAAAGCCTCATGTGGTGCGCTTGAGTCATTTCGAGTCGCTCGGGTCCCTTCTTTTGCGCATTTCCATGAGGTGAGCAATAGCAGTCAGAAGCAATAAGTGTGGGTTCATGCTTTGCGTCAGCGTTTCCAGCGTTTCGAGCGACTTGAAAGGTAGGTATCGGTCTACCATTTCGAACGTTTGCGGGCGTTTTGATCGTCCACCAGTGTTCTGGACGTTTGGGCGACTGAGGAAGTAAAATTATCGGTTATCGCTGTTAACGTTGGCGGACCTTCATAACGTTGGTGGATGCTCAAAATGTTGGATCGAAACTTATTTTCCTAGTCGCTCAAAACGCTGACAGACGCTCAAAACACTGCCGCAAAGCATGAACGCACTCTAGCAAGGAACTGTTCTACGCCCCTAATCAGCAACAGTTCAGAGTTTGAAATCCGCAGGCGCGTCGTTCATTGGTACTTCAGACGCTAGTTCTGCGCCCAGATATGGTAAAACG